GCCTCTGTAGCGTATCCACCCACACGTGGCACCGGTAGTGGCATCCTCTCTGCTGCTGCACATGTACAGATGCAGGAGAGTATCAGTAGCAAGGTTAATAAAAGAGTTGTGCGCATAGTGATTGTGTAGCTGTGTTCTTTAAAGCGATATTATCATTGTAGAAAGGAAAGGAATAATAAAAGCATTAAAATGACATAACTCTTAGAAATATAATGAGTTCTTTAAAATTTGTCAGATTATATTTTCGATTCAATTCCTTTACAAGAGAACACCAAAGTAAATCACAATAAGAGAAATAGTGTCACATAATATTCATAATTGTTAATATGAATAAAGTAAGAAATTAAGGATAAAATCAGATATTCAAGACACATAGTAACTGTACACCTTTACACAATACTCTCATATCAATATGTGGTTACAATACTGTTGATGAGAGCATTTGAAATAAATATTACATTTACTTATAATTAATACTGCTTTTGTAGAGCATTACAAATCAAAGGGAGGTACAATTGGGTATAGATATTGAATTCCAAGTATATAATAATAAACAAGAAAAATTGTAGACATAATTATGTTATTCTGTGCTTTTTTTGTTTGCAGGTGTTCCTTCAGCATACAATCCCAACACACCACGTATATGAATGGTAGAATTCCTCAGTAGTGCACTGCAGCCATCACTTGTGACGCCTGTAAACGATACATCCACCATCCGCAGTGTAGAGATAGTGGCCAATGTGTTGATATTACTTAACTGTGAACAATGACTGAAATCAATCTCTGTTAGACTTCTGCTGCCTGCAAGGTGTGTGATGTTCTCATCTGTTACTTGTGTACCATCCAAGTGAAGTATCTTTAGTCTTTCACACTCTGCCAGTGTACTCACAATAGAGATACCTTTGCAGTGGGAAAGATGTAGTTCCGTAAGAGAGAATGCTGTATTTAACGCAGTAATACCAGCATTCACTATCGCAGATGATGTTACATCTATACTCTCAAGTGCAGGAAGTACTGCAAGAGCGTTGATGGAAGTAACATGTCGACAATGCCGTATAGTAACATGCCGCAATGCTTTCATTGTAGCGAGTACAATAATATCATCATCGCCTATATTCGTATCGCTGATATCCACATCCAACAATAACTGCATATGGCGTAATGGGGAAATACTACGTAATGGATTTCCTGCTATTCGCAGTACTTCTAAACATTGTGAGTCTATTAAACCCAAAAGAGCATCACGCTTTACATTTGCCCATGATACATCTAATGAACATAGTGAAACTGCACAGGCTAAATGACCCACAGATTTTACTCCCCGGCAGCCAGTCAAGTCAAGATGTTGTAAACTCATCCCATTATTGTTGTTATTATTACTACCAATAGAGGCTATTCCACTCTGTGTTAAACTACTACGAGCCACACAGAGATGTAATAGAGACGGAGCTTCCGTTACGCTGTTAACATCTGTGATACCTTTGCAATAGCGAAGAATTACTTCTCGTAAACTGTTACTCTTCCCAAGTCCGGCAATACCATCATTTGTGAGTTCCCCACAGGATGTGAGGTCCAATCGTTCTAATGTAATCATACGGGCCATGGCATTTACATTCGTAATTTCCACACATCCCATCAACCGCACATTCCGCAAACTCTTTGATTCCGCCAATAGTAATATACCATCATCATTCACACTTGTAAAGGAGAGATCAATTGTGTGAAGAGATGAGGCGGTGGGAAGTCCACAGAGACGTGTAAAGCCACGACATTGTGCCAGACTAAGATCGCAGAGTGCATGATAATGAGAAAACTGCAAGTATCCATTTTCAATCACTGCATTACTTGAGAGATCAGGAAGTCGAGGTGACGGTAGACTAATAAGAGCATTACTATTCGTCATATTATCACATTGTGAGAAATGTACCTCAACAAGACCAGGGAGAGAAAAAAGTACATTTAATGCATTTTTACCTTTCTGAACTGGGCATTCAATTAATACAGAGAGAGGTAAAAGTTGTTCTTCTTCCCCAATTGGTCGGCTTAACCACCAAGCCATACATTGAAGTGTTTTTTCTTCTCTTGTTGTGTAGTGTCGTAGTTTAATATATCGATGTAGTCTCTGTGCTGTATTTACTATGTAAACAACTGCATCCCCAACGACTACACCAGAGTTCTCAATGTCCATATTTTCACTGTTTAGTTCCGTGAAGAGAAGTCGTTGTTCCGCTGCGAAACGCGTCTCTGGAGAGGCACAGAGAAAAGCGAGTGGAATACGCTGTTGTAAATACATCGTCACTGAATGAAGGAGAATGGGGTTCATTGGACACATGTGAGTAATCGGAATCAATAATGGATAAACAGAGAGAGAGAGAGAGAAAAAAAAAAAAAAAAGAACTTGGACTGGGAATAAGAATACTTATGTGAATAGTGAGTTCACACTATGGTTTTGTGTTGGTTTGTTGGTTTGTTTAAAAAAGAAAAGAAACACTGTCTTATTGTTTTGATTTGTCTGATTCTTGAAA